GCCCAATCATTATTTTAAAAATGAAACACTGCCATTAGTTTTGATTTTGTGTACACTGAAAATAGACAGAGCTAACATTTTGCCTGAGCCGAACATGATTAAAAAAGTCAGGGACTGCTTATCAACCATCAACTGCTGAGATAAGGAACACTTTGGTAAGAAGTCTATAATGTACAATATAGTGTATATATTGCAGACGTGTGCAGTGTATACTATAATGTATATAGTGCAGGAGTGTGTAATGTACAATATAGTGTATATAGTACAGGAGTGTGTAATGTACAATATAGTGTATATAGTACAGGAGTGTGTAATGTACAATATAGTGTATATAGTACAGGAGTGTGTAATGTACAATATAGTGTATATATTGCAGACGTGTGCAGTGTATACTATAATGTATATAGTACAGGAGTGTGTAATGTACAATATAGTGTATATATTGCAGACATGTGCAGTGTATACTATAATGTACATAGTGCAGGAGTGTGTAATGTACAACATAGTGTATATATTGCAGACGTGTGCAGTGTATACTATAATGTATATAGTGCAGGAGTGTGTATTGTACAATATAGTGTATATAGTGCAGGAGTGTGTAATGTACATATAGTAGTGTATATATTGCAGACGTGTGCAGTGTATACTATATTGTATATATTGCAGGAGTGTGTAATGTACAATATAGTGTATATATTGCAGACGTCTGAAGTGTATACTATAATGTATATAGTGCAGGTGTGTGTAATGTACAACATAGTGTATATATTGCAGACGTGTGCAGTGTATACTATAATGTAAATAGTGCAGGAGTGTGTAATGTACTACATAGTGTACATATTGCAGACGTGTGCAGTGTATACTATAATGTATATAGTGCAGGAGTGTGTAATGTACAATATAGTGTAATGCAGGAGTGTGTACGGCACAAAAAGCACAATATAGTGTATATAGTGCAGGAATGTGTAATGCACAGTATAGTGTATATAGTGCAGGAGTGTGTAATGCACAATATAGTGTATTTAGTGCAGGAGTGTGTAATGCACAATATAGTGTATATAGTGCAGGAGTGAGTAATGCACAATATAGTGTATTTAGTGCAGGAGTGTGTAATGCACAATATAGTGTATATAGTGCAGGAATGTGTAATGCACAGTATAGTGTATATAGTGCAGGAGTGTGTAATGCACAATATAGTGTATTTAGTGCAGGAGTGTGTAATGCACAATATAGTGTATATAGTGCAGGAGTGTGTAATGCACAATATAGTGTATATAGTGCAGGAGTTTGCAATGCACAATATAGTGTTTAAAGTGCAGGAGTCTGCAATGTACAATATAGTTCAGGAGTGTGTAATGCACAATATAGTGTATATATTTCAGTGGTTTGTAATGCACAATATAGTGCATATAGTGCAAGAGTATGTAATGTACAATATAGAGTATATAGTTTCAGCGGTGTGTAATGCACAATATATTGTATATAGTGCAGGAGTGTGTAATGTAGTATGTGCAGAAGAGGAGTGCCGAGTTTATAGCAGCAGTAATATGTACAGAAGAGAAGTGCAGAGTGTATGGCGGTGGGTGTTATGTACAGGAAAGGAGTGCAGAGTGTATAGTAGTGGGTAGTATTTACAGGAAAGGGGTGCTCAGTGTATGGTGGCAGGTAATTTGTACAAAAAAGGAGTGCAGAGTGTATGGTGGCAGGTATTATGTACAGGAGAGGGATGGGGGGGGGGGGGTCTGGAGGCAGTTAGTATGTACAGAAGAGGGGTGTAGATGAGTTGAAGCCCTAATTCATTGCATCAGTTCATTCAGCACTGCAGAGATCACAGGGCAGTGGCATGCATAGACCAACTGAAGCTAGCTGCAAGCACACAGCACCAGTACTGGCCTCCCACCCTTTGGCAGAAACTGCACTTACTTACCCCCCCCCCCCACATGACTTTTTAACCCCTTTCTTCAAGTCTCTGCCCACAATCCCCCAAGAGCTTGCAAAACTCCATCAACTTACCTCCCCCACCCCACACATCCCTCACAATGAACTGCTCCCGGTGGGATCTCTGAATTCCAGCAATGAGCTCTTACCACCAGCACTTGTCAACAGAAGCCATCAATTCCACCTTCACCCCATAAGCTTTCTGCCTGTAGCACTGGAGCACAGTGAGTGGGAGCATCGGAAAGAGAGAGAGAGAGAGAGATGGAGGGAGGAGGACACATGCTGGCAGTGTATACATTTAGCCGTGATGTATATCAGTAGTGGCATTAGGAGGAAATATGACAAGTGTGACAGGGGCCACACAAAGGACAGTGGCAGACGCATCTGCAGACTTGTCTCATCCATGGGTGCACTGTGGATCAGAGCACAGTCGGCCCCATACCCTTTGGGGGCCATGTGCAATGCACACATTGCACCCATGGATGATACGCCACTGCCATCTGCCAAAATCACTGTGTCGTAGTGATAGGTTGAATGTCCCGAACCTGCTTGTGCCCTTAACCTGCTTGTGAAGTTGCACATCTGTATAGTGTATATAAGCTTGCACAGCAAAATTGACATTTACAAAGAAAAAAATGCTGTTGAAATTTCTGATGACAGATAAATGACAGCTTTGGCCATTTACTTCTGTTTGTAAACAAAGTGATTGGGGATTCCTTTCATTTATACCAGACCCTTATCCTAGATGAGCCACTGATTTTGATTTTTAATGGGGGGCCCAACAACAAAAAAGACCCTATCTGGTAGAGTCTGATATGAAATTTGGGGGGTGTACCATTTCTATTTTTTTTTATTGGTCTGGTATGAATTTTAAGGGGGAGCCTCAATCAAAAAATAAGAGTAAAAGTGTGAGGTCCTCCCAAAATTCATACTAGACCCTTTTTTGAGCATGCAACCTAGCAGACCAAAAAAAAGGAGGGAGAGGCAAGATTGCCCCCTCCCCCAAAAAACTGTACCAGGCCACATGCCCTCTACAAGGGGGACCCAGAAACTACCCCCATGCAACACAAAAAAGTGAACCTACACACACACTTTGACAAGTTCTTTATTAAAAATGAAAAAGAAAAAACCCTGAAAAATGTCCTATGATGATTATTATTATTATTATACAGGATTTATATAGCGCCAACAGTTTGCACAGCGCTTTACAAAATGATGTGCATCCATTGTCAATCACATCGTCCAGCCATGTGGATTTATGTCAATCACGATGAGAAAAAAAAACATGGATATGTGGCCATATTTGGTCAGCGATAGCAATACTATCCCTGCCCCTTTGTTTACTTGGCAGGAGATTCCTGGCCAAAAAATGAATGGGGCTAGGGGATGTCACTGGTCACGGTGCCTGCTTCCTTGACTACCTAAATCTGGGTCAATTCTAACATTTTTCTCATACATGTAAAAGCCGACTTTTTTTGCTAGAAAACTATTTAGAAACCCCAAGCATTAAATATTTTTAAGCAGAGGCCTTGGGGAATAAAATGGTTTCTGCAATTGTTCATGTCGCTCAATAAAATACCTGCATACAAACTCAATATAATAACAAATTTTTGGTAAATTATAAAAGAGAATATTATGCCAAGTATATAAATACCTAACATGTCATGCTTTAGCCCTCATGCACACTGGACACTTTGATAGCTGCCGGTAATGTTAGCTGTGTAAAGCAACGTTAAAAACATGATTTTTTCAGCTTTTTTTAGTGTTTTTGCATTACCGTTTAGTGGCGTTTTGCGTTCTTTAGCCTTTTTTGGTCAAAAAAGTGCAAAAAAAACGCAGCTTTTTACCACGTTTTCAGCATTTTTCAGCGTTATTATAGCGTTTTTATAGCTAAAAAACTCCTCTAGAAAGTACAGTCTATGTGTGCATAGATACATAGGATAACATGCTGGGGAGTTTACTAGCTGTAGAAAAAAATGTCAAAAGCCAAAAGCTGCAGCTGTAAAAAAGTCAAGTGTGCATGAGGACTTAAAATTGCACACGCCCTTGGAATGGTGACAAACTATAGTACATTAAATTATCTGAGAATCTAAAAGCCTTTACAGGTTACCAGTTAAGAATGAAACAGGAAGTCTGCTCTAAAATGTTTGCTGTCACTCTGATGTTAATACATCAAAAGTCTTATGCGATCACTGTTTACATATGCATGCAGGACCTACATATGCGTTTGCGATTGTGGGTGAGCATGGGGGGATGGGAGCACTTAAATTTTTTTAAATTGTATTATTTATTTTATGTAAATTTATTTTTTGACACCTTGCCTTTAATAATTTTTAAATTGAACTGTATTGCTATCACAGTGAATGAACAACATCCCTTGCAACAGCATGGGCCGTGACAGGTCCTCTTTATGGAGAGATCTGGGGTTTATTAACCACTTGCCTACCGGGCACTTATACCCCCTTATTTACCAGGCCAATTTTCAGCTTTCAGTGCTGTCGCACTTTGATTGACAATTGCGCGGTCATGCAAGATTGTACCCATATGAAATTTTTATTATTTTTTTCTCACAAATAGAGATTTCTTTTGGTGGTATTTAATCACTGCTGGGCACTTTACTTTTTGTGCTATAAGCAAAAAAAGTGCAAAAAAATTTGAAAAAAAAAAAAAAGTTTTTTGTTTCTATTATACAATTTTTCAAACAGGTAATTTTTCTCCTTCACTGATGTGCGTTGATAAGGCAGCACTGATTGGCACTGATAGGCAGCACTGAAGGGCACTGATAGGCGGCACTGATATGCGGCACTAATGAGATGGCACGGATAGTCGGCACTGATAGGCAGCACTAATGAGGTGTCACGGATAGGTGGCACTGATATGCAGCACTGATTGGTGGCACTGATAGGCGACACTGATAATGGGTACTGATAGACAGCACTGATAGGTGGCACTGACTGACATCACTGCTGGGCAATGACTGGGGGCACTGCTGGGCACTGACTGGCACAACCGCTGGGCACTGACTGGTGGCACTGACTGGCAGCACTGCTGGGCTGCACTGATGGGCACTGGTGGGTGGCACTGGTGGGCACAGGTGGTGGCACTACTGGGCACAGGTATGTGGCACTTCTGGGCACAGGTGGTGACACTGCTGGGGTGGCACAGGTGGGCGCACTGATGGGCACAGGTGGGCGCATTGCTGGGCACAGGTGGGCGCACTGCTGGGCACAGGTGGGTGCATTGCTGGGCACAGATGGGCGGAACTTGTGTGTGTGTGGCACTGCTGGGCACCGATCATCAGGGCACTGGTGATCAGTGACCCTGATGATCGGTGCCGATCCCCGCTCTGACAACTGCCGATTTACGGCAGTACTTTCCTCACGATCTGACAGCGTGAGGAAAGTGCAGCCGAGAACCGGCATTTTGCATTTCCCCCGGTGATCAGCGTGTCATTGACGCTGATCACGTGGTAAAAGGCTGCTGTGATTGGCCTTTTACCACGTCACGTGATCAGCTGTGTCTGTAGGACACAGCGATCACGGAGATCGCTGGGTGCGCGCCCACGGGGGGCGCGCAGGAGAGCGTGTTCTGGGAGGATGTCATATGATGTCCACCCAGAACTAGCCGGCTGCAGTACAGCCGTCATTCGGCTATCTGCGGTCGGCAATTAGTTAAACCCAGATCTTTACTCTGCTCTCAAAAGCAGCTGAGTAAACTGAGATTGATTTAATTGGCTACTTTATAAGCTGGTGTCAGCTTGTAAACAACAAACCAAACTAGAAGTGACAAAATCCTTGTTATTCCCCATTTTCTGCCATCACGAAAAGGGAGGAACAATGAAAGTTCCTCCAACTTTGTCTAGTGCAACCAATGTTACAGGGTGCATTGGTACCAGGAGCCCTGGTGGGACAGGAAAGCCTAGTAAAGAAGGTGGGAAGCCGCACGAGGGGGACCCCCTGTCACTGCCTGTAAAAGTGATCGCATAGCTGTGTATCTGCTCAGATCACTTTTACTTTTTAGGGAATCGTCGTCTGAAAAAAATGGCTACAGCTATGATCCTGATATTACCAATCCTGTCCAATTATGAACAGGTAAATCCTAAGGACAGAAGCGGTAAATAACCATTGACAGGAAACTGTCATATACAGTCCCATGGCCGAAATTGTTGGCACCCTTGATATTTTTCCTGAAAATCAAGTATTTCACACAAAAAAGGTATTGCATTAACACATGTTTTGCTATACACATGTTTATTCCCTTTGTATGTATTGGAACAAATATAAAACAGAGGCAGAAAAGCAAATATGACATAATGTCACACAAAACCCCAAAAATGGGCTGGACAAAAGTATTGGCACCCTTAACTTATTATAATTGGTTTGCACCACCCTTTGGAAAACATAACTGAAATCAGAGTCGCTGCCCTATAACACCATCAATAACAGCTTCTTCTGACACCTCTCACCCGGAAAATTTTGACCACTCTTCCTTTGCAAACAGCTCCAGGTCTCTCTTATTGGGAAGGACACCTTTTCCCAACAGCAATTTTAAGATCTCTCCACAGGTGTTCAATGGATTTAGATCTGGGCTCAGATTGCTGGCCACTTCAGAACTCTCCAGCGCTTCTTTGCCATCCAATTTTCTGAGTGCTTTTTGACGTATGTTTGGGGTCATTGTCCTGCTGGAAGACCCAGGATCTTGGACGGCAAACCCAGCTTTCTGACACTGGGGGCCCTACATGCGACCCAAAATCCTTTGGTAATCCTCAGATTTCATGATGCCTTGCACATACCAGTCAAGGCACCCAGTGCCAGAAGGCAGCAAAACAACCCCAAAAACATCATTGAACCTCCACCATATTTTACCGTAGGTACTGTGTTATTGTTCTTTGTAGGCCTCATTCCGTTTTTCGGTAAACAGTAGAATGATGTGCTTTAACCGAAAAGCTCTATCTTGGTCTCATATGTCCACAAGACGTGTTTCCCAGAAGGCTTTTGGCTTACTCAAGTACATTTTGGCAAACTGTAGTCTTGCTCTTTTTTATGTCTCTGTGTCAGCAGTGGGGTCCTCCTGGGTCTCCTGCCATAGCGCTTTCATTTCATTTAAATGTCGACGGATAGTTCGCGCTGACACTGATGCTCCCTGAGCCTGCAGGACAGCTTGAATGTCTTTGAACATGCTGTTGGGGCTGCTTATCCACCATCCGGACTATTCTGCGTTGCAATCTTTTCATCAATTTTCCTCATTCCGTCCACGACCAGGGAGATTAGCTACAGTGCCATGGGTTGCAAACTTCTTGATAATGTTGCGCACTGTGGACAAAGGCAAATCTAGTTCTCTGGAGATGGACTTGTAACCTTGAGATTGTTGATATTTTGCCACAATTTTGGTTCTCAGGTCCTCAGACAGTTCTCGTTCTCCTCTTTCTGTTGTCCAATGGTGGCTTAGTGTGGCACAGACAGACACACAATGCAAAGGTTAAGTGAACGTCTCTCCTTTTTATCTGCTTTCAGGTGTGATTTTCTATATTGCCCACAACCTGTTTACTTGCCCCAAGGTGAGTTTACAGGAGCATCACATGCATTGTAACATTCTTATTTATCCGCAGTTGTTGGAAAGGGTGCCATATACTTTTGTCCAGCCCATCTTTTGGAGTTTTTGTGTGACATTATGTCGAATTTGCTTTCTTTTCCTCCCTTTTTTTTTGTTTTGTCCCAATACACACACAAAGGGAATAAACATGTGTATAGCAAAACAAATGTGTTAATGCAATACGTTTCGTGAGAAATACATGATTCCTGGAGAAATATCAAGGGTGCCAACAATTTTCGGCCATGACTGTATAGTAGCGGTATAAAAAAACACTACTACTACTACTGATTATATGATATTTGGCTCCTGCTGAAAAAGCAAAAACGTCCCAACACCCAAACAGCAAAGTTTGATCTGAATCTGTGTTCAGATCAAACTTTGGGCTCATCCCCTTCTGTGTTGCAGTTACTGTTATGCCCTACATGTCTAGTATCTTCTCTCTAACCCCCTGCAAGATGCACTCATATATTGCAAAAATATTTTTCCATCTACCTCAGGGAAAATAGACCATTTGTTAGCGTTGATAGGCAGATGGGACTAACTACACATAGATAATTATGGATTCTTTTTTTTTGTACTTCAGTACCAGTGCAGGCACTCCCCACTGTTCTCATGGCAGGTGAGAGCTTTTTAACTTTATCTAGTGGCCATAATCTGGTGTTTTTCCAGAAAAAATTATTGCATCGTGGTTACTAGATGGAGCTGACAATTATAGGTAATTACTGTATGACGCAAACTATGGTCAGAAATTAATCAAGGATGAGGTCAATGCTTGTCACATATATCTAACATTTTTTTTTTTACAAATAGACCACTAAATGTTGTATAAAGTTAATTTCCAATGCAAAGAGAGCTGGAATACGGCAATGGGCTTCAACTGCAAACTTAAAAATTACAAATGTGTGTATATATATATATATCTATATATATATATATATAAAATTGGCAGTATAGTGTGTGTGTATATATATACACACACACACTATACTGCCAATTCATTGGATTCACGTGTTCCAATCACCTCCATGGCCACAGGTGTATAAAATCAAGCACCTAGGCACGCAGACTGCTTCTACAAACATTTATGAAACCAACATATATATATATATATAAGGTGCAGTGCATAAAGCATATAAAGGGAAAATGTGACAAAAAGGTATAAATATACATACAGTATATGTCAGTGCAACTAATATGGTATTAAACAAAAAGTAATTCCAGGATAAATCTGTATATCAGTGATGTGATACTAGTAATCACGGCAAATCGTGTTCAGTTCCACACAGTGCTCTAGAGTCCAGTGTGCAGTCCACCACCATTTATGCACTCACCAGAGGGCTACTTGTTAGGTAGCAAATATAACAATAGACCTGTGTTATCCACTCTCTGACATCTGTTGGTCCAGTTACATCTTTTTGGTATACTGAAGAAAGGGATGGATGTTTATCTGTGTTCACGTGGAAGAAATAGAAGTGTTAATAGTTTATTTTTATCAATGAACAAAATGGAAGGTAAATAAACAGAAGAGAAGTCCAAATCAAATCAATATTTGGTGTGATCACCCTTTGCCTTCAAAACAGCATCAGTTCTTCTAAATACACTTGCCTGCAGTTTTTGAAGGAACTCAGCGGGTAGGTTTTTCCAAACAGCTTGGAGAACTAACCACAGATCTTCTGTGGATGTAGACTGCCTCAAATCCTTTTTGTCTCTTCATGTAATCCCAGACAGAGTTCATGATGTTGAGATGGGGTCCAAACCATCATTACCAGGACTCCTTGTTCTTCTTTACTCTAAAGATAGGTCTTAATAACATTGCCTGCATGTTTGGGGTTGTTGTCCTGCTGCAGAAAAAATGTGGGGCCAATCACACACCTCCCTGATGGTATGGCATGATGGATAAGTACCTGCTTGTATTTGTCAACACTGAGGAGACCATTGACCCTGACCAAAACTCCAAATTTATTTGCAGAAATGCAGCCCCAAACGTGCAAGAAACCTCCACCATGCTTCACTGTTGCCTGCAGACACTCATTATTGTACTGTTCTCCAGCCCTTCACAAACAAACTGCTTCCTGCTACAGCCACATATTTCAGATTTTGACTCATCAGTTCAGAGAACCTACTGCCATTTTTCTACACCCCAGTTCCTACATGAACTTATGCTGTTTTGAAAGCAAAAGGTGGTCACACCAAATATTAATTGGATTTGGATTTCCCTTCTGTTGATTTACTTTCCGTTTAATTAAATGATTAAAAAACTTTTAACATGTCTATTTCTGAAACCATTTTAATTTATAGCATTTTTTTTCACACCTGACTTATGCATGGTACTGTGTGTATATATATATATATATATATATATCCACTGAGGTGGAATCTGGTTCGGGTTTTCTGGGCCACCTTGACAGTGTTGGTTCTGTACAGGATTTTGAGTTCCACTGATGACCACCAGTGGTATACATAAAGCAGAACTGGAGCAAGAGGTTGCTCTTGGCCTGGGACTCAGGAAGATAAACCTGAAAGAGGTATGGATGTGGAGATTGCTAAGAAAGAAAGAAAGAAAGAAAGAAAGAAAGAAAGAAAGAAAGAAAGAAAGAAAGAAAGAAAGAAAGAAAGAAAGAAAGAAAGAAAGAAAGAAAGAAAGAAAGAAAAGAAAGAAAGAAAGAAAGAAAGAAAGAAAGAAAAAAAAGGTTTGCACAACGCTTTGTTTTGCTGGTGACTGGGAGAAGCCCTTCACCTGTGAGATAGGAGTCTCTCCTATTTAGTTAGTGCCTGGATGGCAAGGATTTATTTTCAGTTTGATTTGTTTTCCATGAAACCGTTGTAATAAAACTGGCTACAAGTCAGACTTTTAAGAAAGACCTGCCGTCTGGACTGCCTTTTTCCCAGGGAAGGTGATCCCCATTTGAGCTAACCCCCAAATACTGTATGGTGGATTTGGTGGAAACTTCCTGAGTAAGTGGGAAGATGGAGAATGTGATAAAAGCCTTGCTGCTGGCCACTGAAACCCAGCAGGAAGGAGGTGGCCCAACACCTGATGGAATTCAAGAAGGGGTTCACAGGTCCACTGCCAGTGGAACAGAAAATGGTGCAAGCCAGCTGTTACCTACAAAAGATGTTGCCTGCAGATGATATTGAAGCCTACCTCACAAGTGTTGAGAGTTGCTGTTTTGGGAGAATAGCAAAAAGAGCAATGGTCATTACTGCTAGAACCTTTTCTGATGGGTGAACCTCCAAAAGACCTATTATGACCTGGAATCAGATGCTGCCCATGATTATGAGAAGCTGAAGGCTGAAATCCTTGCACACCTGGGCATCACTGTTGTGGTCCGGGCTCAACGTGTGCATCAGTGGTTTTACAATACTGACAAACCACCCTGCTCCCAGGTGTTTGACTTAATACACCTCACCAGAAAGTGGCTACAGCCAGAGATTTTGTCAGTCCCTAAGATTGTGGAATGTGTGGTCATGGACCACTATCTACGCATGCTTCATTCCACTTTGAGAAAGTGGGTCAGCCATGGGGACCCTAAGACTGCAAACTAAGTGGTGGACCTGCTGCAGAGATATACTGCAGTTGAGAACTGGTTGAACTCATCAGTGGATACAAATGGAGAAACAGAAAAAGGGTGCACCGACCTAGTGCATTATCATTTAAAATAATTTATTAAAGAAACAAAAATAGGTATCATACTCACAATGGACATAATAACACAGGCATGTCAAACTGAACAAGGTGTATGATCCAAACAACATCTGAGTCCATACGATGGAACCCTGGATGACCAACTGGCTAACGCGTTTCCAGGACACAACCTCAGAGCCAGAGCCAGAGGACTCAGATGTTGTTTGGATCATACACCTTGTTCAGTTTGACATGCCTGTGTTATTATGTCCATTGTGAGTATGATACCTATTTTTGTTTCTTTAATAAATTATTTTAAACGATAATGCACTAGGTCGGTGCGCCCTTTTTCTGTTTCTCCATTTGTATCCAGTGTATTCGGACCACCCCGGTCTGTTGAGGGCAGCAAGCAGTGCATATTTCAGAAAATTCCAGAACATTCCTATTGGGTATACTGAGTCCTTTCCTAGCGCAGGAGTAAAGTGTTTGTTGTGTTGGATTGAACTCATCAGTGCTCCACACCAATGTCTCTAAGGGTAAAAAACTGCCCGGGGGATTTGGCAAGACTGTTCTGGGGTTCAAGGCCTCAGGGAAAAAAATTACAAGACTGTTGCTACAGATAATGAAGGGGGGGAGCAGAACCTATAAAGTGTTATTGTTGGCATGCATTAGGTCATATTGCTGCTAACTGTCCCCTAAATGATGAACTAATGCAATGTGATAATGCTTATTTGAAAAAGCGCATGTCTTTTTTTGGACAGGTGGCATGTACCACATTATGTCAGGGACATATGGAGAAACAAATGTGGATGGAAAGCCTGCCACTGCTTTACTAGACCCTGATAGTGTTGTGACATTAGTCATGGAGATCACCTTCCCTGGGGAAAAGGTGGTCCAGACAAAAGTCAGTGCAGACAGTCCAAGACAAAGTCTGACTTGCAGCCAGTTTTATTAAAAAGGTTGCATGGAAAACAAACAAAACAAAACAGAAAATAGATCCTTGCCATCCAGGCACTAACTAAACAGAAGGAACTCCTATATCACAGGTGAAGGGCTTCTCCCAGTCACCAACAAAACAAATGTTGTGCAAACCTTTTTCTTTCTCTTACAAAGCAATCTCCACATCCATAGCTCTCTCATGTTGTCTTCCTGAGTCCCAGGCCAAAAGCAACCTCAGTCCTGCTTCATTTATACCACCTGCTGGTGATCGCCAGTGGAACACAAAATCCGGTAACACTGCCAAAGTGGCCATGAAAACCCAGACTGGATTCCACCTTTATTTCCTAGATATGAACACATGAGAACAAATCTTTATTTTGCCCAATTTAGTGAAACATGTATACTTGGAAATACATATTTGAGTTACTTGAAATTAGGTTTATTGCAGCAATGTCTTGTGCGACAACCTCTTATCATTTGAGAATGATGACTTATGTGATCCAGAACTGAAGCCTTTTAAAGGTTTTAAAGAAAATGAAATTGGATTGGTCTTTATAAATGGAATTTACTTTGAAACATATGCCATTGCACATTTGTACAAACATGTAATCATGTTTAATGGCATGATAATTCATGTTATACTTTATTTACGTACGCACTGTAAAGTAAACCATAATAAACATGTATGTATTGCTTAAAAAAAACCTACAAGGAATTCAGGGGCTGGGCTTATATTTTGCAGGGGGATCAAGGTGCAAAGAGCATGATAATATGCAGAGTGCAGTGACTCCTAACAACCAAGCAGTTGAAACCAGTTTGCTATGAGTTACTACAATGCAGGGGCGGACTGACCATTTGGAAACTCGGGCATTGCCCAAGGGCCCGGGGTCAGTAGGGGGCCCCATGAGATGCCCCTGGTACCTTTTTTGAGTTTGGGCAAGGACACAGGGGCCCATGATCCCCTATAAGGACACAGGGCCCCAGAGTTGTCAGTCCGCCCCTGCTACAATGTTCACATCTTTATTGCTCTCTTCACCCGGATCCGAACCAAACTTATCATCCCACCTTCCCTTTCTAGATAACATAATATCCCTTCAAGCTGCTCAGTATGTTCCTTCTACAAAAGCAATGATTTATACTTGTTTAAGGTGATGGTGATGGAGATAATGCTTGGACTTGCCCTAGCAGTCCCCTGGAGCATTACCACACAATGATGTAAATTATATCCAAAGCCAAAACTTTTTTTTTTTACATTTTCAATAGAGCAGGTTTTTAAACACACTTTTTTTTAAGATTTTTTTCTTTATTTGTTGCCATCTCTGTCTCATTAGGTAGATTTCCCTTCACTTCTGTCATGTAGACACAACAGGAAGTGAGAGATTATCTTTAGCGTGTAAGGAATATTTCCTTTTAGTTGTCACAGTAACCTCAGCAAAGCTTATTAATGGCCTGATCAGCTGTTTGACTAATTCAGATAAAATTGTTAGTTAGATTTTTGTATTGATATGACTTGACTTAAACAACACTGCTTTTAAATAACTAATTTACAGTTTCAAATTAAATGTAAAGCGGTTGTAAAGGCTTAAGGTTTTTTACCTTTATGCATTCTATGTATAAAGGTAAAAAACCTTCTGTGTGCAGCAGTGCCCCCCAGTGCCCCCTAATATTTACCTGAGCCTCATCATGATCCATCGATGTGCACAACAGCCTGAGCTCTCCCAGGTCTCTGCCTCCTCATTCGCTGAGACAGCAAGTGGAAGCTATTGGCTCCTGCTACTGTCAATCACAGCCAGTCAGCCAATGTGGAGAGAGGGGGTGGGGCCAAGCCGTGGCTCCATGTGTGAATGCTAGAAATTCTGAAGGGCCCTCTGCACACTGGTATATACCTTTTCAAGCAGACTTTGCAATAAATAGGGATATTTAGTTCACACATATTGCAATACATGTTTAAGCTGGCCAACTGCGTCAAAGTAATCCCTCTATGGTCAGTCCTACTCTGCTCTGCCTACGCAAATGCTACTGTGGACACAATGCTAACATAGGGGAAAAGACACAATGGGGGAGAGCTACAAGATTCAGGTCTGGCTACTGACCCAACAATACAACAAACAAGATATACCTGTGCTCAAATCCCAACAGCTAGTGCAGACCTGAACCTGGTAGCTCTCCCCCACTTTGTCTTTTTCCCTATGTTAGCATTGTGTCCACAGTAGCATTTGCGTAGGCAGAGCAGAGTGGGACTGGCCATAGAGGGATTACTTTGACGCAGTTGGCCAGCTTAAGCATGTATTGCAATATGTGTGAACTAAATATCCCTATTTATTGCAAAGTGTGCTTGAAAGGGTATATACCAGTGTGCAGAGGGTCCTCAGAATTTCTAGTGTTAATATGTGGTTATACCCCTTTAGCACCTGATGGATAAATGCATGCACTAGCTGTTGGGATTTGAGCACAGGTATAACTTGTTTGTTCCATATGTGAATGGACACATGGAGCAGCGGCTTGGGAACACACCTGCTCGGGTGCCCCCATAGCAAGCTGCTTGCTGTGGGGGCACCCAACAGAAAGGAGAAGCCAAGAGAGCCTATGGGGGATCCGAGAAGAGGGGGGTGCAGGCTGTTCTGTGCAAATTCATTGCACACATAGGTAAGTATAACATGTTTGTTATTTTCCCCCCAAATGTGAACCTTTAGAATCACTTTAAATACTTTTAAACAGCAAACAGCTTTAATTCCAGGGATTTTTAGTGTGCAGCAAAATCTCTGCAAAGTGGTAACAAGCCTGTGGGTAATTAAAACACCTAAAATAATATCTCTGTATTCAGCAGACAGCATCCAGATATTTTAGGTTTGCACTGCTGCTTGCCCCTTTTAACTTTCCTTGGCTTTCTAGTAGCCGGTGAAACAGCCCATACTTTTTGACAATAGGGAGCTGAGGAGACCATAAAGGGCATGGCGTTTTCAGAATCCTAAATTTCATAAAGGGGAACTCAAGAAAGAAAGTGTGCTTAAGATCTAGATGGACCCATGGTATCATGTATAGCAGCCTTTCTCAACCTTTTCAACACAGAGGAACCCTTGAAATGACGTTTTGGTCTCGGGGAACCCCTGTTAAAAATTTCTGTATCTACAGCTCATGATACATTCGTGTGATGGTCAGTGGGAAGAATGTTTCTTACATTTGTGGTCATTGAGAAGAATGACCCCCTTATAGACAGCTAAAAATATCAATGGTGTCAGCGGGAACCTGAGAGGCAGATTGCTTATTGTTCAAGGAACCCCTAGCAACATCTGGAGGAACCCTGGTTGAAAAACCCTGATGTAGAAACTGCTTTGCTAAATATAAACATCAGGGCACACATGTTTCACTATGTGCAGATTAAACATCAAAGTTTCAGGAGGCAAGGGGGAGTAAAATATGTTTTTCTGGCAAAAAAATGTCCCAGCTGTCTGGATTTATTAAACAGACAGCATAGCTTTTTTTTAATACCACATGTCTAACTGGAAATCAGCTGAGATGCTAAAAGATCACTTCTGTGAGAGGTTTAACAGTACAAAATTAAACCTATCAGCTTAGGCAGGCATGTAATAAAAGGAATTACACAAGTGGTGCTCCAATCACTCAGAGAAAAATTTAGCATTGGTGTCTTTGTAGTAAAATCAACTTGCCTTTGGCATCATAATTATGGGCCATAATATTGCTATAAAATGATTTCCTAAGCCAGAATCTAATTTACAATCATGTTGACATTGCTGGTAAAACATACTACAGTGATCGTTTTAAAACCTGTGTGTGGCCTTTACCAGTTTATCCAAAAATATCAATTGATGCTAAACCTTTCTTTTCCTATAACAGATGCGTCAACTTTTGCCAGCTACTGAAACTCAGAATGAAAATAATGACTTGTACAGAAAATATAAGGAACGCATCAGAAGAAATCTCCATATTGTACTGGCTTTCAGTCCCACAGGAAAAGCTTTCCGTGATCAGCTTCGTCACTACACATCTCTAGTGAACTGCTGTACGATCAACTGGTTTCAGGTGATGGTGAATTTACTGGAACTATAAATAGAATAGGATTTGTTTGAAATAGACAACTAAGGGAATAGCATGACCAAGTGTACAAAGTGACTTGACAGATTACTAACTTTCTGAGCATTTACTAAAGATCCATGTCTATAAAACATCAAGTTATTTTGTAAGCTAGAAATGTCTTGACACACAAGTAACTTTTTTTGAACATTTTCTAAACATCCATGCCTGCATAACATCAGATTTTTTTTTTTGTCAGGTAGGAGTAATGACTATGGGGTCTTTCACATGGGATCCCCGCTGAGCAAGCGGATGACAGCTCTGTTTCCCCTCCACTGCTGCAGAGCAGACACGGACACAATGGGCTGCCGGATGAAAATGCCGTTTACACCTGTCGCTCCATAAAGGAGAAAGGAGGTTCCGATCGGGTCCACCTGAAAAACGGGCAGGCAGACCCGATCGGATAGTTTGTGTGAAAGAGCCCTATCTCAGCCTGCACATGCCATATTTGCAGATTATTTCATTATCCAGCAATGTGACCAATATCAGTGTTCACAAACTAAAGATTAGTGATGAGCCAAAAGCCTAGTTTTGGATTCAGAGTAAAGTCATAAATGTAAAGTGGTTGTAAAGGTTCAAGGTTTTTTCACCTTCATGCATTCTTCTTGTGTAGCAGCCCCCTACCCCAGCTCCCCGTAATACTCACCTAAGCACCCTCTTGATCCAGAAATGTGCACTAGAGTCTTGGCTATCCTGGGACTCCCTTTCCTCATTATCTGAGACAGCAGCCAGTGAACCAATGAGAAGAGAGAGGGCGGGACGGAATGGACACACGGAGCATCTGTGAATGGACACATGGAGCATCTGGTGCCCCCATAGCAAGCTGCTTGCTGTGGGGGGCACCCAACAGGAGGGAGGAGCCAGGAGCGCAGGCGGGGGAGTCGAGAAGAAGAGTATCAGGGCTGCTCTGCGTAAAATCATTATTTAGAGCAGGTAACTGTGATGTTTGTTATTTTGTTTTTTTAAATTAAGCCTTTAAAATCACTTTAACAAAAGTCTGAATGCCAAACCCAATCCCCACTGAAGTCACTGAGAGCTGAATCAGTAACTGCCATTTTCTAGGCTAATAGACAGGGGACTGTCAGACAAAGGGCATGTAGGTAGCTGAGAAATAATGGGGTAAACCTCCTGCGCTTCTTCTTATGATAGATACAAATAACAGGGAGAAGCTGCTAACATCCAATCATCTACCAAATGATCAAATGAAGTGAGATAAGAAGGAAATGATGCAGCGCTACTCCAAAGCTATAAAACACATATTGTAACCTAATTATATACATATTATAAATAAATAAATGTGAAAGCAATATATAAAGTGACACAATGTGCAAAGAACATAAATGTGACCTGATCCTCCCGGGATCTTCAGATATCTAACCATGACCTGATCCTCAACGGATCCAGAAAGTGAACAAAGTGGATCCTAAACCACCACAATGAAGGTGATAGCAGAGATATGTGAACCAATACTAAAAAGTATGGTACAAAAGTGAATAGATCCTGACTGGGATCTGAAGTGATGGTGGATATAAAATGAAAATAAATAAATAAAATAAAAGACTGTAGGCAGTTTTGAAGAAAATTATGATTCTCCAGAACAGCATCACCAACAACGTATTGTGGCATCAGATAAATTGCATATGTAATAATTTAGTTTACATTTACATTGTTTATTGGCTTATATACAGCATCAGCAACCCAATATGATTTATATACAGCATCAGCAATCCAATATGATTGACGTCCACTCCAAAATAGCTTTATTAGGTAGATTTTCAAAGACAATTTTTTTGTGTGTGGTATATACCATAATTTAGCACATTAAGTAGCAGAGATGATTAAGCTGAAACATATTGCAAAGTATTAATTTTGAAAGAATAAAGAAAAAAATAAAGAAAACTCCATTAACTTCATGTAAACTGCCAAATAGTGTCACACAACACTGTATTGTGTAAAAAATCTAGCAAAATATCAACCCAGAGTGAACCAAAATACCTCAAAACCAAGTTCAAGAGATGAGGCAGTTGTTAAGGCAGCCCAAAAAAATTACAGCTCCATTTTTCAGAGACAACAGAAAAGCATATGGCACAGTGGCTGGAGAGAATGTAAGTTATTTGATTTGAGTCCAGGGCAGCAATTAGAGAGGGAGAGATGGCCAAGGTAAAGTTCAATCAGGTGGACATATCAGGTAATTTGAGAGCACATGGAGTTCACACTGCTTTTCACTCAGCCTAACACTATCTGGCTATGACCACCTGAAATGGCTACATAATCTTCTGACCTGTCTAAGAAGATCCTGTAAATCAGAGTATCCAACTAGAAAGCTGTCATAGACTGGGAATAAGCTCTTTCTATGGATTTACTGGCTGGCCAGGACTTGGTTGTACCATCTGGAAAGACAAAGAGTATGCACAGAAACCACATTGAGGACTTGTGCCCTTGGTCAGATGGATCTTCCTGCTGACTGTGTGGTCCAGCAATGTGGAAACAATACCTTCCACATGATGATGGAGGGTAGGGGTGGCCTTACAGGCAGAAACATTGCAGCTGGTAATCTGCCACTGTGGTACATCACATGTCACACATTCAGCCAGGGGACAGACTCCACCAGCTGGAATGACAGTGGCTGTAAAACCAGCTTTTTTCCCAAGATGGAATTAGGTCTCTGGGTGTGGGGGTAGCTACAGTAGCTGGTGCACAGAAAGCTGCCTCCTCAGTGATAAAGCTGGGGATGTCAGGGTGAGGTTTGGTAGAATCAGAGCATTGTTGCAGTCTACATGTGACCCAATGCTGACCCGCTTCCTCATTGAAAGTGCAAATTCTGACACTCCTTGAAATACTGTCATCTCTATCACTTGAGGCTGTTGTCAATTGCATGAAGATGCTGCTCTCACCAAGTTGTGCGGTGAATATTTATGTCTTTACATATATGTGGAACCAAAATTGTATTACCAATTTTATTACCATACTTGAGATGCTGGTGACAGATTTTGCAAGCAGACTAGTTCGGTCTGTTGAAACGGTCCACACAGCTGAATAAGTCCAGGAAATGACAGTGGTGTGTACTCATGGAGCTCTGCTATCTGGTGGAATAGAGCAAGTGCTCACTCCACTCCTCTGCAAACTGCCCTGGATGCCTGTTGCCTGATGCCTGTTGTGCCTCTTCCTCCCTTTTGGTCTCCACTATATTTAGCACCCAGCTGTGTTGATACCTACAAAAAAATGGGACTATGTTTTTCTGGCAACCACAGTCCTATGCAGGGGCACACTGACCATTTGGACACTCGGGCACTGCCTGAGGGCCTGGGGTCAGTAGGGGGCCCCATGAGATGCCCCTAGTACCTTTTTCATAGTTTTTTTTTGAGTTTGGGCAAGGATACAGGGGCTGCATGATCCCCTATTGCCTGGGGGCCCCATGAGTTCTCAGTCCACCCCTGGTCCTATATGTATAGATCTTGAACAAGAACTTTCTAGAATAACATTTTATTATTGTTATATCAACATATAGAGGGCATCCATATAAATCATTTCTCACATCAATCATTTCTCATAATTTTTTGGTTCTAAAAGGGCACCAGAACATTATAATGTATCTTTTAATGGACATGAGCTGCAAAAAAGCATATGTACAGTATGAATATCACCAGTGTTAGTATAATTATATTGTATAATTTACAGTTTTCACATATAATGTCAGTAATTTTAACTGAATACTTAATTTACAATTAATATTATTTAAAAAAAAAAACATACTCAACACCTGTCTGCTGGATGATTAGTTATATGAATCACATCCAAAAGGGGAGATGTTCTAAAACTGGAGCACTCAAAATCTGGTGCAGCTGTGAATTTTAGTCAATTTGTTTTTAATTTCAGCTTGTTCAATTAAACCTTGACAATAAAACCTGGAAGCTGATCATTTTCTATGCAGAACTGCACCAGATTTTGCATGCTCCAATTTTACTAAATCCCCCCAATGTGTTTCTACTGTATTAGTCCCCTGGTTCAAGTGTGTTGGACCATAACATTTTTATTGCAAAAAAAAGGTATAATGACGAGACTATAACAAAAAAAAAATTGCTCCTAGGATACAAATGAGGGAGAAACAATCACCCATCTCAATACCTTGCCAGATGGTAAATGCAAGAATATGGCCACTGCTGGCATCTCTATGCTGCAAGGAGTCCAGCAGGGATTGTCACTTCTCCATGTCTTCACCCCCTTTAAATACCCCAGCCGCTTCATCACCTGGAATTACTTCTGACAAGGTTAAGGTGGTGGCATACTGCCAAGTAACATAGCACTCCAAAATGGAGTGCATGCATGTGAGCCACATTCCCTATGTGCCAACATCACTTCAGCTTTCTCACTGAAACAAATGGGAGAACAGGTTTCTAACCGACAGAGAGTTTTTAAAAAAACGGAATAGTGGGCCAATACCTTAAAGCATAGGTCATTCTTTTGTTATTTATGATGTATGGCAATAAAGACATGATAAAAATCTAAATATCCTTCTGGTAGAAATCTACACAGATCTCCCTTTCCATGTCTTATACTAGTATATTGTATAATGATCACCATTTCTTATATACAGTATAATGCCTGGTGTTCCATACACAAATTTAGAGACTGCCCTGGCATTTTTGAGAATATGCCAGTGCATCTGTAAGAAATGTTCTAAATTTAAGGGCATGGTTACTAAATTGTGTTACAATTTGAATTTAAGCAAACATTTTAGGGGCATGATTTTGATGTGAAAATAAATCCCTTAGACTGCCCTTTGCTTTTTTACATGCTTATTTCAGGCTCTTGAAGATCTTTTTGCCTCACATTCAAAGTCAGCTATGCTTGTACAGTTTCATTTAGGATTTGAGCATTGTCCTGTTGCAGGGGCATCCCTAGGGTTGGTGTCACCCAGTGCGGTAACACTTGGTATCACCCCTCCGACGATTCCCGTAGGATGGGTCGGATCTGCGGATTGAGCATAATGGATCGGAGTTCGATCCATTATGCTCCCCAATCTGCAGATCTGATCCATCCTGCGGGGATCGTCGGCTTGCAACCTATATGAGATTAACTGATCTCTCCATGAGCTCCACGAAAAGGAAAGTTTTAAAGCAAGCCGACGATCCCCGCAGGATGGATCGGATCTGCGGATTGGGGAGTATAATGGATCGGACTCAGATCCATTATGCTCAATCCACAGATCCGATCCATCTTGCTGGGATCGTTGGCTTGCTTTAAAACTTTCCTTTTTGTGGAGCTCATGGAGAGGGTCTGGTGTCACCCCTTGCGATAGGTGTCACCCGGTGTGGCGCAACCCCCGCACCTGCCTAGGGACGCCACTGTCCTGTTTATATACGGTGCTTTGAATGAAATGTCTAGGATGGAAACTCTTTGCATGTACCCAGGCATGCTCAGAGACCTTATCATCTTCCCTCCCCGCATCATCTCAGAAACCAGCTAGTAGTATGATGCGGGAACATCAGTGTCAAGTGCTTTTCCTTGCCTGTCTTGGAACAGGAGGAAGAACAGTGATTTTGCAGCTGAAAATGACTTTACGCCTACTATGCCTACTACTACTTTGGGCCTCAGAGACATAGTAGGAAGATGTTAACAGCTTGGTTAATCACTCCATCTTTCCTCTGCTTGCTACAGTGGTATATTATGCACACATGCCCTGCCTCTTGATTCTACACCCTGACCACTGTTTTAGCTTGTTGTGAGGAACAGAAGTATTTGAACACCCTGCGATTTTGCAAATTCTCCCACTTAGAAATCATGGAGGGGTCTGAAATTTACATTGTAGGTGTATTCCCACTCTGAGAGACAGAATTAAAAAAAATTTAAGGAAATCACATTGTATGATTTTTAAGGAATTTATTTGTCTTGCACTGCTGAACATAAGTATTTGAACACCTAAGAAACAGCAAGAATTCTGGCTCTCAAAGACCTGTTACTGTGCCTTTAAAAAGTCCACCTCTACTCCACTCATTAATCCAACTTATTAGCACCTGTCTGAGCCCTTTAAAGAAACCTGTCCACCCCACAGTCAGTCAGATGCCAACTACTACCATGGGCAAGACCAAAGAGCTGTCAAAAGACACCAGAGACAAAATTATGGACCTCCACAAGGCTGGAAAGGGCTACGGGGCAATTGCCAAGCAGCTTGGTGAAAATAGATCAACTGTTGGAGCAATTGTTAGAAAATGGAAGAGGCTAAAGACGACTCTCAGTCTCCCTTGGACTGGGGCTCCATGCAAGATCTCACCTTGTGGGGTATCACTGATGATAAGAAAGGTGAGGAATCAGCCCAGAACTACAAGGGAGGAGCTTGTCAATGACATGAAGAGAACTGGGACCACAGTTTCAAAGGTCACTGTCGGTAAAACACTGTGCCGTCATGGTTTCAAATCATGCATTGCACGGAAGGTTCCCCTGCTCAAGTCATCACATGTCCAGGCCCGTCTGAAGTTTGCCCATGACCATCTGGATGATCCAGAGGAGGCATGGGAGAAAGTCATGTGGTCAGTTGAGACCAAAGTAGAACGTTTTGGTCTAAACTTCACTCGTCGTGTTTGGAGGAAAAAGAAGGAGTTGCATCCCAAGAACACTATCCCTACTGTGAAGCATGGGGGTGATAACATCATGCTTTAGGGGTGCCTTACTGCGAAGGGGACAGGACGACTGCACTGTATTAAGGAGAGGATGAATGGGGCCATTTATTGTGAGATTTTGAGCAACAACCTCCTTCCCTCAGTCAGAGCATTGAAGATGGGTCGTGGTTGGGTCTTCCAACATGACAACGACCCGAAGCACACAGCCAGGATAACCAAGGAGTGGCTCCGTAAGAAGCATATCAAGGTTTTGGAGTGGCCTAGCCAGTCTCCAGACCTAAATCCAATAGAACATCTTTGGAGGGAGCTGAAACTCTGTTTTGTTCAGCGACAGCCCTGAAACCTGACAGATCTAGAGGAGATCTGTGTGGAGGAGTGGCCAAAATCCCTGTTGCAGTGTGTGCAAACCTGGTCAAGAACTACAGGAAACGTTTGACCTCTGTAATTGCAAACAAAGGCCTCTGTACCAAATATTAACACTGATTTTCTCAGGTTTATATCTAAATGTGTTGCGCTTCACAATATGTATTAAATCAATCATAAACATATAACTCAAAATAATATAAGCGTGAAAAAACCACGTGCTTCAAACAATGCAATATCCTATGCAACAAAACATGAATATAAAAATGTATATACAATCATAAATTATTATAAAGTCCACTTTGTGCTTCAAATCTTGCCAGTGCCAATAAATGTGCCGTGCAACACTCCCAGTGCTAAAGAGTAGGTGTAAGCTCACCTTACTGATTAGCCAAACTAAGTGGCTAATATCGCTTTTGTCCCATCAGGACTAAATGGTATTTTCCATGCTGGGTGCTTATTTCCACATTCGAATGGATAGGCTTGTGCTACCAACTTTCTCCCACCAGGGGTCTCCCTCACTTCTTTTCTATCCACACTGAGCCTTGGTGGATAGATGAGGCAAGACTGTATACTGCTTCCTCCTCCCGGTATTGGGGGATAACATAGAAAAGGAAGTAACAATAGTGCCTTATCCTTTTAAACTTAAGTGCTTTTATTAAAGAAAGAATAGCGCACTCACACATTAAAGTGCTATTACAGACAATTAAACTGTGCCCAGATCCTCAGTTTGTACTTGCCGCTTGTTCACATCAGCGTCGTGACGTCAGAGCCCCTCCCCTACGCGTTACGCCACAGGGTCACGTGGCTTCATCAGGGGGAATACTTATGTTCAGCAGTGCAAGACAAACAAATTCTTTCAAAATCATACAATGTGATTTCCTGAATTTTTTTTTAAATTCTGTCTCTCAGAGTGAGAATGCACCTACAATGTGAATTTCAGACGCCTCCATGATTTGGGAAGTGGGAGAACTTGCAAAATCGCAGGGTTTTCAAATACTTCTGTTCCTCACTGTATGCATGCTGCTCACCTAAAAGCTGCACAGGAACAAAACCACATTTTCCTTTTTGCCTTCCATACATGATATTTATGTGGGGGTTATACCTTACTTATTAAGACCTTTTGCAGGAGCTCTATGGGGGATGCAGTGCTTTAAAGAACTAAATTTCACCTTAATAGTATACATTGTTCATCTGCAAATTACACTGTTCAACAAATTTTTATTTTTTGCCAGTTTTGGAAACAAAAGGATCCATTTCTTATTGAATTTCACATTCTGAGTTCAAATATAACAATGACATTTGTCAATTGGCTCTAGTTTTTCTGTAAACGGAAAGTTTTCTACTATAGGCGTAATGACTACATAATGCACAATAATTATATAGATAGATGTCTTTCCACAAATATAAAGCAAGTGATATTGACTACATAACAAAGCCTAAATGGCATAATATATTGCATAGGATTACCAAGAAA